GCTCTCTAGCTGTGGCCTGATAAAGACTGGCGAGACTTTCCAAATCGAAAGTCACATCCGCAGAAAATCAAGTGGAAAGTACACCGACTTCACATCTTGCTTCCTTGTCGGTCTCTGCCATCACAACCTCAGAGTAGGTGGTTCAATCCTCTGTACGACCGTGACTGTCCTCTGTCAATTCACTATGTCAAGTTCAAACGTCAAACCAGGCCATTGACCCAAACAGTTCAAGCGTAGTCACAGCGTCCTCCAACCCTTTGGCTGAAAAGGCGAGCAAAAACCTTTCGTGTGAACATTACACATTGGCCACGCTGGCTGTAATGCTACATGCTCTGTGTCTTCTGATGCCTACTTTGCTGCTAGAAAGGGCTTTGATACATATATACATATGTAAATGTGTATAAACGTGCAAGTTTAAGAATGTGCTTGAAAAAAAACGTATGCCTTGAGCAGTGTGAACAATATTCACATCATGAAAGTGCAATGCATCAATCGACAGAATGTAAGTCTTTTCACAAACAAGTTGTTACCAGTTCAAACTTCCTTTTGCCAGTGGGAGATCAGGCTCTTCAAGCAAAGTTTCCTCGAAGGACAACCAAATTGATGCAAAGGTCAGGGATCTAAGTGGCAACCTATCAGCTGACTTAAATTGAGCCAACATCGAATTAAATGTGCAGCACCTGTTTGACTGAAATTGGTGGTGCCTCCAAGCAAAGCAACCCGTCTCAACACTTAAACACTTCCAAAAGTTCGTTGCAAGATATTTGTCAATCAAGCAGCACAAGAGGTTTCATTCACTCGATTCCACCTGCATAGCTGGCAATCTCGCCGGGCTGCGAAGCCCCTTACCTTGTGTGACCCAATCGACGCGCAAAGCAAGTCGCAGAAACGATGTGGTGTTTCATCATGAACTGCTAGGAGTGTGTCACCATGCTTAAAAAGTATATATAGCCAAAACATCAAACTCTGCTCCTCTCAAGGCTAGAACCGCCAACATGCAAACTGTGTGAGCAAGCACTCGGCCGCATGGAGCAGCACACATCCTGCAAGCTCTGTGCCAGCTTGAGGGTCCTTCTGCACATTCTTCTACTGCTTGAAGAACAATAATGGGCTATCTTGTGCTGCTCAGGTTCGGTGCAAGCGATGTTGGAGGCAGTAGGCTTCCGCAACAAACTGCGCAAGTTGGTGCATAGACCCCCCTGCCAACAGACTAAGAAACATCTTCAACATGTTAGTTCCTTTGGAAGATAGTGTTGATTCTCTGTGGTAATTGAGCCCTCTGTTCGCCTTGCCGCAAGGGCAGTCTATCAATCGAGTCGATCCGACCTCATGCCGGAAAAATGCAAACGAATTAGAAAAACAATAATCCTCGCATAGAAAAATATGTCACCTGTCTTGCAAAGAAGAGGCTTCGAAGGATGAGACGTTCTGGGCTCGCAAATAGGCTTGGGTGCAGTCTAGATGACATATCCTCATGGAGGCTTTGACACAATTTTCAAAAGTCATGCTGCAAACTGTGCCTGACAGTGCCTCTGCCCGTCCTCCCGCACCGCACACTACAAGGTGCTTCGAACTGTGGCGGTAATGGCACCTTCTCATTACACACCTGGGAAACGACGGAGTCAAACTCCGCCAACTCCGCACGTCTATCTCTCTCTCCATTTCAATACCAGCCTCACACTCAGGTACCGGGACCATGGCCATGCTCACAAGTCCGGGGTTGCAAACGCTGCGTTTTTGCAGAGTGGAAAATGGTTTGCTGTTTGTGGTGAAGTTCAATCATGGTGAAGCACAAGCATGGTTTCTGTTGATTCTGCCCGAACCTTGCGAATCTTCTGTTCCAACTGCTATGACATAGGGGTCTGAGGGTGTGTGTGTGTGCCCCTTGTAGTCACAGGGATTCGTTTGAATTGTTTTTTTGTGCTTAGCAGGGGGGGCGATGAACACTTTGGAAGGCATTGCCCAACGAAGACCCTTCCATCGTGTTGTGATATTCCTGAGGGACGCCTCGGGAACGTACCTGCAACAATTTTTAAAGTTTGCGGCAGTCACGCACGGAACGCCGTCACTTCGACCTGATCGCCGACCTCGACCTTGTGCTTTGGGCCTCCTTTCCTTTTAAGACCTCCAGGATTCGATGGCTTCCTATTGGTACTCTTAGGAATTGGAACCCTAGGCCGGCGTGTGGCACCGCTATCAGTTCAGTACGCATATCCATAAGTGTGTTTGGCCTTGTGCCACCCCGGGATGAGCCCGCAGAGTGCCTCCCGTAGACCCGTCGAACGGGGGTTTGTCGTTATCTCCCCGGAGATGCAAGTGCCCAGAGCGGGCGTAGGTGGCCTAGGCCGAGAGAATTCTCATCTTTGGAATTCCAAGTTGGCTTATGCCTTTACGTGACCGCAGCGGTCTAAGCAGCCAGCCGTATTGGCACGGCGTACGTGGCCGCAGCGGCCGAAGCTTGTTCAAGGTTCATTGGAACCTGTCCCAACCTCAGGCGCACACACAGCGCTTACACTCAAACGAGGCAGGTCCCTAGGTGCTTCCGATGAGGTTTGGTTTCATCGGTTCTCGTCCCCTCCATTTGGTTCCCCTTTCATCCCTGCCCCTTCACACACTTTTGTTTCCTCTTTTCTTTCATGTCCTCCTGTCTTCATGTCTGTTCATCTCATCCTTTTCTTCGTTTGCGTGCACATTGGTCCCGGCCTTAGTGTGTACGTGCACTTCTACATACCTTTAAACACAGGTTTTAGGTCGCCAGGTCTTTACAATGAGGTGGGCTTCATCGGGTGTCCCTGTGCACTTGGTTCCCCTTTCATTTCAACCACACGCACCTTTGTCCCGTCTCGTCCTCCTGTCACGTCTTCATTCTTTTGTTTGCCCGCGCACACGTGCACATTGGCCCTCACCTTAGCTTTACGCCTCCCCTCGGGGAGGCGTGTGTGTGCGCCCCTTGTAGTCACAGGGATTCGTTTGAATTGTTTTTTTGTGCTTAGCAGGGGGGGGCGATGAACACTTTGGAAGGCATTGCCCAACGAAGGCCCTTCCATCGTGTTGCGATATTCCTGAGGGACGCCTTGGGAACGTACCTGCAACAGTTTTTAAAGTTTGCGGCAGTCACGCACGGAACGCCGTCACTTCGACCTGATCGCCGACCTCGACCTTGTGCTTTGGGCCTCCTTTCCTTTTAAGACCTCCAGGATTCGATGGCTTCCTACTGGTACTCTTAGGAATTGGAACCCTAGGCCGGCGTGTGGCACCGCTATCAGTTCAGTACGCATATCCATAAGTGTGTGTGTCAACCCCCGTTCCAAGGGGCACTAACCTACTCTACTCTGTTCCGCTTGAGTTCATGTGAGCTTTACAACTTGTACAGAAGCAGGGTGGCAGTGATCCTTTCAACAGCCACTGCCTAACAAAGACGCTGTTGTTCGGATGTGATATTCGGAGAGGACGCTCTCTGAACGTACCTGCGCGAATTGTCTGAAGCCAAGCTCGGCAGAGCACTCATCTCAAGTGTGATTCGCAGCTTCTTCCCACTGTGGTAAGCTGTGTGAACCCTACGGGGCGCCGCTACCGAGTTGAATTTCCTCTCCTTTTCATAGGAGTACTGCACTGAATTTGTCTGCTGAATCCTTCTACTGAATTTTGATGCTCGAAGTGTGATTGACGGAAATGTTTCACACAGTACGCGTGAAGGATCGCTGCAGAGCTTACTGACATCTACTCTGAATTCAGCTGCAGAGCTCACTGAATCTGTTTCACCACGGAAGCTTTCCAAGTTTTAATTAGACCGCTAAGTATTCTTAGGTTCCCCCAAGTATTCATTTTATATGCGCCGACTTCGGCTTCTCGGCCAGTGCCTATGGGCCCATGCCGTTTGCTCGCAAGAGCATCCACCCCACCCCACACCCCCTGCAGCTTTTCTTGTTTTTCCTTGCCTTTTCGTTTGTCTTGTTCCTTCCTTCAGGCTTGTTAGGTGACATCCAGGCTCGTTTAGTCAACGCACGCCCTGCCCCCCCCGCACCCCCTGCACCTTTCTCTTCTTTCCTTGCTTTTTCGTTTGTCTTGTTCTTTTCTTCGGGCTTGTTAGGTGGCATCCAGGCTCGTTTAGTCAACGCACGCCCGAACACCCCTCCACACCCCTGGCAAGCAAGAAAAGAAAAAGGAAAAGCACACTTTGTGCTGCGGCGTTGCGGCTTTCCAGAAAAAGCGCTCTTGCAGCTTGACTGGCCCACGATTGGTACAGCTATACGTGACAAAAGGTCACTCCAAGGAACATTGTGCTGCAGAGTTGCGGCCTTCCAGAAAAAAGCGCTTGTACTGAGTCTTCCTAGCTGCGCCGTATTCGGCTTCTTGTGTGTGTCAACCCCCGTTCCAAGGGACACCTAACCTACTCTACTCCATTCCGCTTGAGTTCATGTGAGTTTTACAACTTGTACAGAAGCGGGGTGGCAGTGATCCTTTCAACAGCCACTGCCTAACAAAGACGCTGTTGTTCGGATGCGATATTCGGAGAGGACGCTCTCTGAACGTACCTGCACCAATTGTTTAACATATCCTAAAGAGCTAATGCGTTTGTTCAAACATTTGGTTGCGCTGACCTTTCATTTTTACGGTTCTGCAAGTCAAGCGCTAAGTATTCACATAAAGTGCTAATGCTCGCCGCGAATTGTCTGAAGCCAAGCTCGGCAAAGCACTCATCTCAAATGTGTCTGTGTCTGTGTCTGTGTCTGTGTCTGTGTCTGTGTGTTCCATGTACCCCAAGAGAGGTACAGGATGGGATGTTCATTTGTGCGCAATGGTTTGTTGGGTCTTGATCTACTGTCCCTGGCATCTCAGGCATTTAGCTCATGATCAAAGTGAGAGACTATGACTGTGAGAATGCAGACGCAGAAAACAGTCCAGCAGTGATGAACCAAGAAATGAGCTCCGTCAAACGCAAGTCTCTTGAGAAAGCAATCTGCATGGCAAACAGCACTCCTACAGTTACGGTTTTTCAGCCGATGCTCTCGCACACATGGAGAAGACCTTCCGGCCAAGCTGTCATAGCCTTTCACTACAATGCTCTATGTATGCATCAGTCCCATGCTGGCCTTGGAACATTGGGCCTAAAGACCCCACACAGGATGGATGCAGCATAGGCGATTCCAAAGCCAATGTCCACCACTCCATGCTGAAAAATGCATGAAGGATCATAGAGTTTCAGGTCGGATGCACCTGTGATAGGACCCATAATCCCCATCGCGACCTGGTACAAAATTGTGAGAGTCGCCAAAAATACTGGACTTTTTGGAACATCTTTCCAACGCTTGAGGATTCCATAGAAGAAGGGCGTCGTGATCCAAGCTGTGTTGATGTTGGCATAGTTCAATCGCATTTTGGCTGGTCCAACCATGTTGGTGAGGCCGGCAACGATTGGTATTTGGGTGGTCATGTATAATGCAAGGTACAACCACGGCAATTTCTTTTCCTTTGGCACGTAGCACAAGAGTGACAGAAAGCCGGGAAGAGCAATGCCGGCACTGTAAGCATATGCAAAAGCAAAGTTTGCAAATGCATGATAATGGCTGAACCAATGAAGTAGGAAGTGTGCAATGGCCTCAGGTACAAAAAGCCATGCGAAAAGTCTGTCAATCGGATCATTCCGGTATTTTTCTCTCCACATCACTGCTGCAAAAACCATTATGGCCTGTAACACGGAAGTGGTTCGCAAGGCCGGATGAGCCAAGTGTGGTCCATACTCAAGGCTGAAGTCACTGATAGCAGGATCAAATGAAAAGTTGCCAAGGCAAAAAAAAAGAATGGCAAAAGGGTGACAATGCAGGCAATCTTCACCATCTTGTATGCATACTCATTCTTGCTGCTGCTGTCTGGATCTGAAACATCTGAAGTTGCGCCTTTTGGAACTCGAATTTTCTTGGCCCTCAGCCCAGCAAAGCTGAACGTAGCAATGCCTGCAGAAACCAGCAACCTGTGACTGGATGAGGTGGTCGCCTGTGGCGAACTGGGTGCTTTGATCAACCTGCCACTTTGCGTCCGGAGCGCATTGCCAAAACCATTGCTCGGGAGAAAGTTGAATGCCAACGCCATGGCTTCTTCACACAATATTGAGCCAGCTGATACAGGTTCAACGTGATCGGCATGAGAAATCAATGTGCCTTGCTTTACATCGATATGTTTAAAGTTAAAGAAAATCTGTGGTTTGAGTGAGTGGAACCAACAACAAGATGGAATCGAGGCCACTCCTGGAACTGTGACTGAGCTAGCATGGAGAGCAATACACCGAGCGCAATCTTATTGTAAGAATACTCTCATATATATATATATGTATATGCTAGTGTGAGTAGTGAGTAGTAAGGATAAGCTGAGTCCAAGACCAACCAAAAGTGCAAGGAACTTCAGAAAAATAGAGGCATGCAGCAGCATGCAAAACTCAAACCTTTAACAACAACTGTGCTTACGGAGTAAACAAACTGAATGTGTAGACTCCTGGAGTGGCAATGGGACCTACACACAACCAGCAACAGCCGGCTTTTCAAGGCAGCATCACCGCAGGACTGTTGGCACGATCTTCTGAATTCAACTTACAAAATTCCTCAAAATCTGCAGAAACTTCTAATGTCACGTCATCAAGAAGCTCTGTGTAACAAGGAATTTCGCTCCCTCCCTCCCACTACAAAAATAATACAACGAGCAACAACAAGCACTCACAAAGCGCAAACAATGGCAATGCTGCACCCACATGAATGACACGATAGACACTGGCATACGAGTAAATGACTATTCGCAAGTTCTGACGATCTTCATGAAGTATTGCCCTGCAACAGTGGCAATTGGAACTATCATCAAGCATCAAAAGCAACATGGATGTACAGTTTATATACAGTTTGACAAGCAAAAACCAACTAGACGACGAGTGGCCCGAATGCATTTTTCATCACGTAGGAAGTCAGAGTGCGAGTTACCTGTTAAGTGTGCAGTGTGCAGTGTTAAGTCGAGTGAGTTGATGTAGTGTGTGGGTCTCTGTGTGTGTATCTATGTCCGTGTGTATATGAGTCTCTGTCTGTGTGTGTGTCCGAGTAAGTTGAGGCAGTGCGTGGGTCTCTGTGTGTGATGTGTGTGTGTGTATGAGTCCCTGTCTGTGTGTGTATGTCCATGTCTGCTGCTGGTGAAGGTCTTCGCTGTACATATAGTGAGCGATTTAGCGCGCAGGCCTCCCAAACCCCCCACCGGCGGCCAGCCAAGCGGTGACAGCCCAGCTCATCGTCGTGAGCATTTGGGCTGCTGGTAAGGGGAGAAGCAGCGTGCACGCCTCCAGGAAATCTCACTGAAAAAAGCAAGCTGGAATGAAGACAGAAAATTGCTGAGGCAGGTGCGCAACAAGTTTGTCGAAGCAGTGACCTGTCAGAGGAGATGCATCCATCGATATACGATCAGAGGTAACGTTTCCTTCACTCCAGGACAGAGCTTTTTAGTTCACCAACCACTATGCTTGTCATTGACTAAATCACTGTCTCAAAGAAAAAGGCGACAAAGTAGCATGAGGTGACACACAGCAAGCACCGCAGATGTTTAGCGTAGTCTCGCTGTTCGGCTCGCGACCAGTATTATGGTGAACGAATTAACGCGCAGGCCTCCCAAACCCCCCACCGGCGGCCAAGCGGTGACAGCCCAGCTCATGGTCGTGAGCATTGGAGCTGCTGGTAAGGGGCGAAGCAGCGTGCACAGCTGCAGGAAATCTCACTGAAAAAAGCAAGCTGGAATGAACACAGAAAATTGCTGAGGCAGGTACGCAACAAGTTTGTCCAAGCAGTGACCTGTCAGAGGAGATGCGTCCATCGATATACGATCAGAGCTAACGTTTCCTTCACTCCAGGACGCATAGCGTTTCTAGGATGTAGGTAACCAACCGCAATGCTTGTCATTGACTAAGTGACTGTCTCAAAGAAAAACGTGACAAAGTAGCATGAGGTGACACACAGCAGGCACTGCAGATGTTTTAGCGTACTCTCGCTGTTCAGCTCGCGACTAGTCTCTTTGTACGCAGAAAAGATCGTGTATGTCTAGTACTTGTTGTCCTTCCGCAGAACGACGTCCACACAGGATTTATCAGGAAGAAGTCACGGTATGAGACACGCAGTTGGTTATCATGTGAACATCTTATGATTTGTTCACCTCCATTCAGGGTCTTTGCCTGGTCTGGGTCTAGCGCGTCGACCCGAAGCAGATCTGGATGGTGTAGGCATCACCCAGTCTTCCCATCCACTGGACCACTTGACCACTCGCCAAAACTGCCAGGTTTCTCCATGGGCAACCCAGCGTCTGGTTTCTATGGACTGGTTTGGCCATCTTTCATGGATGAGCTCTGGCTGGTCGTCATGGTATGTCCTGCTTCCATAGGACCAACCGAGGCACACCAGTATCTGGTCATCCTGGTTGACGCTGAAGAAGTGGTCGTCAACAATGCCAAGGTTCCCTGGCATGATGGCTGGGCAAAGAGGCAGACCTACGAGCTAGTGGGCTGCAAAGTGGTAAATAGCGCACGCGTAGCCATAAGAAGGCTCTGTTTGCCTTGTAAAGGTTCATGTGGGATATGAATATTGCAAAAGGTTGTGGGGTGCGTTGAAACTTCTTGCAAGTATATGCGTCATTGCTGTTGAGTTGATATTTTGGTAGTTGGCCCAAGTTGTATGGAGACTTCTGCAATGTCACTGTGAGCACCGAAAGGTCAGCCACGGAAAATGCACAGTCTGTTGGCGCAGGTGCTCTGAGGGTGACATGTGCTTCGCTCTAGATGTAGTTGAGAACCACTATGCTGCTCATTTTCTAATCGCCTCTCCTAGAGAAAAACGCGACAAAGTAGCACGAGGTGACACACAGCAGGCACTGCGTATGTTTTAGTGCACTCTGGCCGTTCAGCTCGCGACTAGCCCTTGTATATGGAAGAGACTCCCCGACATTATGTCTAGTACTTGTTGTGCTTCCGCAAAACGACGTCCACACAGGAGTTGTGAGGAAGAATTCATGGTATGAGACATGCAGTTGGTTACCATGTGAACATCTACTGTAGATGACACCCTGCGTCGGGGAGACTCTCACTGCATTGTCCTCTCCGGAGACACGGCGGCGACCATCTGGGCCAACTGGGCGGCGTCGAGGGTGCCATCTGTTGACACGTCCGCCAGTGGGACGCGGAGCGGTGGGTCCACTTGAACAAACCTGCCAGTCTGGTCGCGGTAGCCGCTGAGTTCGATGCAATCGGGCGGTCCATCTCGCAAGCGCTGCACCTCTGGCTCCTGCTGCCCCGCTTCCTGTATGGGAATTTGCAGGGATACCAGAAGAGATTGTCAGCAAAGTTAAGCTACACACTGCGCCCATCCCCTAACACAGGTTGGGTGTCTTAGATAAAGGTTAGAAGTCTTGTATCTAGATATCTTTTTCTTCCCCGAAAACATCTGCAAATCACAAAAACCGTCCTCCACGTTCGGATGCGCCGGTTCCTGTGTGGGAATTTACATGGATACCAGAAGCAGCCACCTACTTCAACTAAAACCGATGTACGCAAAGTTGAACACCGCTCTACGCCCATCCCCTGACTCCATCCCTCCTGCGATGAGAAGCTGTCCACTATGGATTCGAGCAGCTGCTCCTTCCGCAGAGTTGCGCCGTCGCGCCGCTGCGGCAGTTCCAACTTCGCGCACAGCTTGCGCAAGTCGGGAGCGCTCTTCGCATCCAGCTCGGCGCGCAACCACACCGCGCCTCCCTCGCCATGTCCATCTCGCAGGCAGCAGCTTCCTGTATGGGAATTTGCAGGGATACCAGAAGCAGGCACCTATTGGAACAAATACAGATTGTCAGCAAAGTTAAGCTATACACACTACGCCCATCCCCTAACACAGGTTCGGTGTCTTAGATAAAGGTCAGAAGTCTTATATCTAGATATCTTTTTCTTCCCCGAAAACATCTACAAATCACAAAACCGTCCTCCACGTTCGGATGCGCCGGTTCCTGTGTGGGAATTTACATGGATACCAGAAGCAGCCACCTACTTCAACTAAAACCGATTGCACGCAAAGTTGAACACCGCTCTACGCCCATCCCCTGGCTCCATCCCTCCTGCGATGAGAAGCTGTCCACTATGGGTTCGAGCAGCTGCTCCTTCCGCAGAGTTGCGCCGTCGCGCCACTGCGGCAGTTCCAACTTCGCGCACAGCTTGCGCAAGTCGGCGCGGCTCTTGGCCTCCAGCTCGGCCCGCAACCACACCGCGCCTCCCTCGCCGTGTCCATCTCGCACCTCTGGCTCCTGCTGACCCGCTTCCGGTCTGGGAATTTGCATGGATACCAGAAGCAGACACCTATTGGAACAAAAAGAAAACAGATTCTCAACAAAGTTGAACAAAACACTATGCCCATCCCCTAACACAGGCTGGGTGTCCCCAACAAAAGATGTAAATCTGATATCTACATATCTTTTTCTTCCCCGAATTACAAAACCGTCCATACCACCTCCAGTCCGTCCTCCGAGTTTCGCAGAACGGCGTCCTCCAGAGCAGCCATGGTCAGCGCGCCTATTGACGAGAAGCTTGTGGGGTGTGTTGAAACTTCTTGCAAGTGCATTCTTCATTGCTCTTGCCTTCCTGTATGTTCCCGGCCACGATCTGGTGCTAGCTGGCCCTCGTTCTGTGGAGACTTGTGCAATCTCACTTTGAGTACCAAAGGTGCTTGAGCCGCTGCGCACAAGGTCGACAGAAGCATCCGCGTCGATGCATCGCGCCACAGCCTCGATACTCCAAGCTCAAGGATCTGGCGAGGGTTTCTTTAGTTTGGCAAGAGAAGTGAGGAGAAAATAAAACAAACTACACAACCGGCATGACCAAGGTACCTCTGCCGGCCTGCTTCGCAAACCCAAGCGTCCTTGGTAGGACCCGAAGATGGTGCCTCCCTTCTGTAAACATCTCTTCTGCATCACCGTCCAACCTTTCGCCGTGCAAGCTCTGCACCTCTCTCCCGCCACCGCGACAGCCCATGTCTAACTTTTCCTGCGAACCATCAAAGCCTCGGCGCATGTTCATCTCCACGTGTTTCCATGGAGTAGTTTTCAACTAGCAAACAAGGTCTG